GGATAATTTTTATAGATTTCGCTGTGTGTAGGTTTGTTTGTTGGCGTGTATGTGAGTGTGTTTGTGTGTGTGTGCAACACAAAAATATCCATAACTAAATTTAACATTTGTTTTTGTTTTATATTTAACTTTGCCCGTGTTATTTTGGCCAACTTGTTGTTTCTGAATGAATGGCAGACAACAGGTCGCAACTTATAAATACTTACAACCGCCAAACACTGCCCTACTCCCTCTTCCTCCCCCACACATACATTTTGAGTGTTTTGTTCCTGCTGTTGTAGCAGTAAAGCAAATTATCAATTGTTTCTTGCATTTCTTTAATTGTTATAAGCAATTGATACATTTTTGTTTATTGGCCAGCGTTTATTTTTACACAAAATCGTATTTTAATTTTTGTTCGATATATTTTTATAGATATAAACACATTGATCTATATGTAGACGAATACATATTTTTAACAAGTTGGCACGTGCCGCAGCTAAATCTGAACATTTATTTATGCAGCGCCACAGCTTACGTTCTATAAAGATATATAAACAGACAGACAGTTAGACAGTTTTATACGTAGATATTGTCTATGGATGTCTGCATCATCCATTCAATGTTTTGAATTAAAATGTTTGTTTTTATTGCCTTATATTATCCATGTTGTCTTATTTTGCATGCTGCTGCTGCTGCTGCTGCTGCAACAACAAGAACAGCTGCTAACTGGGTGGTCCGGACTGTCCAGACTGTGGGGAGCAAACAGCAGCGAACAAAAAAAGGCACGTCTGGCATTGCTTTGGCAATTATTGTTCGAATCGATTGTGACCGTGTGTTTATTAATGTGTTGCGCCAATTTGTCTACAAGTAGAATATCCTGTGCTGCGCAGAATTAGTTTGGATTGGAAAAAGAGCAAAACTGTAGGGAATTTGAGTTAAGAAATAACTGATTTTTTCAGAATGAGATTTTGTATTGTAAAAAGCATTAGCTTCATTTTAAGGCTTAGCGAAAAAATCAGGCTTTTATATGGGTAAAAACTGATCTTACAATCAATATGTCTGTAAGTTTTTTTTAAGAAAATTCATTGCACACAAAAAATTTTAGTTTTGGGAACTGTCATTCTAAATTGTAAATTTAAAGGCACTAATAGATGCTTGTAACTTATTTTTTAAAGGTAAACTTTATAGTCAGGCAACTGACATCACTCAACCCAGCTTATATCTGCTAGTAATATCTAGTATTACTTGCTAGACATATATAATCTGAAAGATTTGCCATGCCATTCTTTGCTTCACATTTTCTCTCTCTTTCCATTGACTGAAATCTATTTCCTGCAGTTGCAGTCATTAATCTTCGTTCAGCTGCAGCAGCAGCAGCATTGCTAAACTTCAGCATAACAATTAACAGTTAGACAAGCGCTTAAAGTACTTGAGAATTCTAATTACTTTTGTATTTTTACTCTGCTTGCATCATTTAGCTGTTGGAATTAGAATTCTTACCTTTCGCGCTATACCAACTGAATACTAAGTCAAATACTATTTATAGCCTTCAAGCCCCGCAACCAAATTAGGGAATAGAATGGACGACATCAACAAATTATGAAAATTATGAACACGAATGTGTCACGGGTTGAGATAGTTGGGGAAACTTAGAGAGGAAGAGCCTGTCGAAAGGATTGCATATGCGCCACCACAAATAAAACGTGTTCCGTTTTCCGGCAAGGGGAGGCAAGCGTAGCCAAAGATGCCACAGACAGACAGCGACTACATGCATACATATGAATATGTATGTGCGTTTATATGTATTATGTGTATTTGCTTAAGTGCATTTCCCCAATGCTACCTACAGCCAAATGCCACGTAGAGCACGCGTGAGTTGGGCCAGAGAGATTTGCTATGGGATTATATGTGGAAGACTGCTCAGTTTACTAATTGCTTCCGCTACTGCAGCGGCTACGGCTACGGCTACGGCTACGGCTGCTGTTGCTGCTTGAAGTTTTTAGGGGTCTAGAGATTCATTTTAATTGCATTTCTTTTAACGGTAACATCAGCCAGCCCCCTCAGCCCAGACCCAGTCAGCAGCAGCAGCAGCCGCCGATCCCTGAGTCAACGTATGGTCGCTCGGTCGTTTGTGCTGCTCTTTTGCTCTGTTGCTGCTCTGCTTTAGCTCGGTTCCGTCTCGATGGCGGGACAGACATTGCCCGGACGGCGACGTCAATAACATTTGTGTCTGCACACACACACACATGAGCATATATATACGTACGTGTTGTAGTTGCGCTCAATAACAAAAATCAAAGGAAATATATATATATATATATATACATAAGCAGCAAATACTTATATATGTACATATGCATAGCTCCCTTTAGCAACGATTTGATCGCAATGGAGGTGAGAAATACACGCACACATATATACACATGTGCGTGATCATAAAATGCATTTTAACTAGAGTGGGAGAGCCACTTGAGCTATGCAAGGAAGCGACCAAAGGATGTGCATACTTGAGCTATGTCGAAACGGTGGCAGACAAGAGGAAGCTGTAAACGGGAAAACAAATAAGAACTCGCTCTCTCTGTCTATGTGTGTGTGTGTGTGTGTGTATTTTGTCTATCATTGACTTTTTGGCACATATACGGTTCATTTGACGAGCCGAATTGGAGGCGCTGCCATGTGCTGCATGCTGGCAATAACAACAACAACAGCAACAACAAATTGTGCACACATGTTGCGTATGTTGTTCTTATTTTCTGTGTTTTTTTGGCTTGATTTTCAGCATAGTTTTCCTTGCATTTCATTTACATAAAACCAACAGCTGATTGAGCAAAAACTATATATACCCACATATATATATATATAAGTATATATAGGTATATACATACATTTTTATATATGCATAAATGTGCGCAGGATTTGGTTTGAGCTGTGTATAAAAATATCCATCAACAGCTGAGCCACTGACGTCACGCTAAACGCTTGCAGAGTGTGAAACAACAGCTGGCAATTGATTTGTACATAAATATATATATTTATGTATGTATATATATATTTTATATATATATATAAAGGTTGTCTAAAGTGCTGAATGAAGCTAATTTCATATGCTACCACAGTTTAATGTTGCATATAATTATATATGTATATATATAGATTATATATGCATTATACAAGCATATATGTTAGTATTACATTACAGCTGCTGCATATGTTATTAGGATGCTGTTAGTCTTAACAGTTTACGTAGCTGTTAAGAGCAATCTGTTAGATATGCTTTACTGCTGCTGTTCTAGCTGTAGCTAGCGTTGGGATCGACATAGCTAAACAAATTATCTGTAAAGATGCTAAATTTAAAGATGTTATGACTTAGAGCTCAGAGACGCATACACTTTGCATCAAGTTTATTAACATTTCATGAATATTTTATTAACAAAGCAACGCACGCAAGCTGGGAAGCTGTTACATTAATGTCCCTAATGCCACATCAGTCTTAATACGAACAATGCGCAAGTTTCTTATGCTGTTTCTGATGCTGTGCAGAACAGAACGAATGCTGAATACCAGATATGCATGTCCGCTCGCTCGTCTGTCTGACTTTCTGGCTGGCTTTGGCATGGAACGAGACAAGCCAAAGCCAAGGCTGTCAAACTGCGCCTCGTCATGAACTCCGAGCTGTGAGCTGTGAGTGCGATTGCGAATTGAGAATTGTGAATTGCAAGTTGCTTGGCAAGATTTATGGTATCCTTTCAACTTTAAACTGGCATTGCGCAGAGCTGACAAATGCCCCTCGCCAAGTTGAACTCATGCAAAGTGCTCTGTGTGTGTAGCTAAGCCGGCTCAAGGGGGGGCTCTGCTCAACTCTTTTTGGGCTGATTGGCTTGCGCTACCCTCTTTGCAGGAGGTTACAGTCGACAATGCGTGTGCATTGAACTGATCGTCATAAATCGCGTGCTTCAGCTGCCGCTACTTCTGCCTCCATCTGCTTCTTCCTGCTCTTGTGTTGGGGGCGTTCAAAACGCTTCGACAGTCAAGATTAATTGGCTGCGCCAGTGTTGTCATGACGCTAGAATGTGCTTAAATGCTGTTATTGTATTCATTTGATTCACTTAGTAACGTTGGACTTTGGATACTCTGTGTGAGTTAAGGGGAGAGGTAAATGGGCAGTGAAGAAACCTGTGTAGCAGGTAGAAATTGTTTTTGAGCTCCTATAAACTCAGTTGATAACAGTTAAAAGGGTTCTAGTCGGGAGTGATAGACTGCGAAATACCCGTATTTCTAATACCCGGCAAAATTAATATTTCAATCATTCTAAGCTTCTTTTATGGCATGCTAGGCAAACAGCATATGCACACACACACATATAATTATATATACACACACGCATACACACACGCACCCTGCTTACTGTGCTTGGGCTTCACTATGTGCTTTAGCATTTGTTGAATAACTTTCAGTCAAGTTGGACTTTCTTAATCAAAATTAAGTCGCTTGAGTTCGACTCAGCTCATCGTCCTGATCAAGAATACATATAATTTATTTGGTCTGTTAGGCTTTCTTTCCGCCTGCTATATACATTTTTACAAAATCATATAACTTTGAATTCCCTTTTCAATGGATTCTTTATATTTGATAGTTATTTAAATGATTATATATATACATATATATGATTATATATATACATTTATATATATATATGTATATAATTATGATTATAATTAAATTTATATATCAGAGCTTGTATATATTTATATAGAGTTAAAATAAATCTAAAACTGTATTTATAAAAGGATATATTCGAAATTTGTTGAGTTATTAAGTTACTTAATATAGTTAAAGAGACTTTCATTTATTGCTATCTAGCTATAGGGTATTTGTTAGTCAGTTAACTCATTTCATGTACACATTTTACTTTATCTTTTAGCCATTTGTAGAGCATCTGTGAGTCGTTCATTTATACATTTCTTGACACTCGTAACTTATTTCATTTTCTAACTCTCACATTTTTATTGTTTTTGCAGCAAAACTTTTTTGTACCTGTTCGCTAAAGGAAAACTTTAATAAGGTAAGTGTGCGTAGAGGTTCTTCAATTCCCAGTTTTCTTTTTCATTTTCCGCTGTGAGTTTTCATTTCTTATAGCTGAGAAATGAAAAGTTTTTTATTTTATTTCATGTTATTTACTCTTGTTTTTGTTGTTGTTGTATTGCTGAAGCTTAAGTTGAAACGCTGAGCACGTGCTGCGTATTATGCTGCAGCCACGGCAAAGTCTCCCTATCTCAGCCGCTGTGTGCGTGCTGTGTTTGTTCACAAGGAAAATATTTACACTCAATGGAACATAATAAAGACATTAAAAATATATATCATATATATTATGTGAGACGATGGGCAACAGGATGCGATTGCAAGTATTGCCAAGTGCGTGTGTGTATGTAGGTGTGAGTGTGTGCGTGTGTGACACCCGCCCACTAGATGCCAATTTTCAATGTGTGCCCAAGTATCATACTTGCCCCTCACTCGCTCTATCTCTCTCACTCCCACTCTGCTTGTTTAACTGCTAGCTTGCCCAGCGATGCGTGTGTTTTCTTCTCGCTTTTGCCATCTCTCACTCTGTTATTCTCCTTCTCGTTCCAACACTTAGCTCTTGTAACAGTTAAAGTTTCTGTGAGCGTTACTTACCGCATACAGGTGTATATCTACTTGTGCGATTCTTTGCTGTCTGTCTACCTGAGTGTGCATATCGCTGTGACAGACAGCTAAGCAAAATAGCATCGTCATAATGATTGATATGCCTGCTATATAGCTGATTTCAGAATGATTACCACATGTCTCGCCCTCTCACTCACTCTAATCATGTTCAGTAAATTGAATTACAAATAGCTCGCTTTTTGTGTGGTTTGAGCTTATGCAACCGATTAGGAATTATATATTAAAAATAAATATTGCAAGCTCTTCAAGTACCTTATGTAACTCATCTATTTATGTTTAAACTTTGATTAAAGCAATTAGTATAAAATTTATGTGGAACTCGAAACTGTTTTACATTGAAAACTTTTCCCTTTTGCCCTTGAACTAATGAGCGAAACATGAAAAGACTTTTATTATTGTCAAAATGAATATATATATCTATATATATATGTATCACTTATTTAAACCGTTTCACGTTCAAGAGCTATCAATGAATATTGCATGAAGAAACATTTTTGGTTGGCGGAAAACCGTTAAAGGACATCACTTATCCGCGTGTCCAAATCAATTAATGTCCTCCAGCTCAATAAACTTTGACTGTGTGTGCGGCATCCATTTCAATTATAATTTGTGGCATGAGTGTGTGCGTGGGTTGTGGGCAGAATAAACCTTTTTTAGTGCAGTGTGTCCTTGCCAAAGCATTTGCATGAAATATTTGTCAGAGAACTTTTATTTGCCATTTGCGCGCTGTCACATGGCCCAATGGAAACAAAATGGGTTGAAAGATTGGCCAATAAACGTACGTATATATATTTATATATATATATAAAATGAGTTTAAATGCGGCTAAAAGTAGAGACAAGTGGCACTAACATTGAAACTACCTTTCGGCATTTGCACTATGTATTTAGATATCTCTACGTAATTCTCTTGAGCAGTTAAAATTTTTGTGCTGTTAACTAATTCAGTTGCAGCTGGAACAATGGGGCAGAATAATAGAGCAGGGTTTTGTAAGTGTGGGCAGACTGTTTGTGTGTGTGTGTGTGACACGCTTACCTTACCTGTCATGGCCACGTTTTCTGGCCACTTTAACAGCAGCCATGGCAGCAGCAGCCGCTGCCGTTGCCACCGCCGCCAACGCTGCTCATCATTGATGCAAACAGTGAAATGCTTTCACCGCCCGCTCAGCTGACGCGGCACCAACACAACCCAGCCTCCCCCTGATTGTCACACACACACACACACACACATGTTAACGTTGCCTTATTGAAGCTGACAGGCTGCTTTGCCTCTTGTTGCTCTGCGGCAGCGGCTGCCTGTGCTGCGCTCCTCTGCGTGGGCGGGCAACAGCACAAAAGCATTGAGCAAAATTGATTAGATTAGGCAACTCCGGCAAGCGAAACAAACCATGGAGTATTTATGCCGCAGCAAGTGAAGGGGGCACGTGAGAACAGGGTCTGCCGGGGCGGAGGTTTGGTGGCACTTTCGAGTGTGCCTCCGTGTTGTACGTTTAGCAACGCTTCAGTTGACAACGAAGACAACATTTTTGTTTGTTGTCTAAGAAAATATAATTTCTATGTGGCTTTTTCATGCCACCGATATACATATTAAGACTGGCCGGGTAATGGGGTATAATGAGCTGCAGGCAAGGCATGTGAGGAAATCTGAATAAAGTATAAAGAATGATTATATGATCAAACTGTGGCTACATGCTCTGGTTATTGGATTTGTAGAGTTGAGAGAACTTGGATTGGAGCACAATATATTGATTATCTTGGAGTAGAAATATTTATATAGAGTTGTTCAGTGATCTTTCAGAACTTGAGATATAGGGAATAAGACTACGTAGAAAGAAAAAAGAAAAAAAGAGCAAGAGATAGAAAAACAGAGAGTTGGAAAGAAAGATAGAGCGTGATGGAGAGATTGACAGATAGAGAGAAAGAGAGAGATGGAGCATAGATGCTGCACTTGCTTATTGTATTCACACATCTAACCAGTCAATGATCTATACAAAAAGCATAAAAACCAAAGAGACAGAGACAGAGAGAGCCAAATATTTTCTGTTAATTAATTAATTAATATTTTTGAGCTATCTATGGAGTTAGTCTGCATAATTTTCTTAGAAATATGAAAAACTAGAGAAGATATAAATGAGAAAGCAACCACACTATTCATGATATGAATCTAACTATAATTTGCATTAAGATTTTAAAGAAGTATCAAGAAAATAGAATGAAAGAGATAGAGAGTGATAGAGAGGACAGTACTTGCTTTTAATGAATAAAGAATGGAAGTTTCTATTAGAGACAAAGGCTACATAATCTATACAAAGACAGTTCATTTAGCTATAACTTTTAAGTTATAAGTTTGAAGTTAATATATAGCTACCCAATATATGTAACTTAACTCCGTCTGGGTTGGGCTTAAGACACATAGAAGTTGCATTTCATATAGAAAATCATTATATTATTTTTTTATGTTGTTCTCTACAGGGTATCTGCCAGTCGAACGTGTAGCTTACTGCTTTTACCTGTTATTTGGCTTTTATTTTATATGCCGGTTGGCATTGTCCTTAAACCAGCTTCTAATCACATTTAAATTGCACTCAAAGCGTGCACACACACCAAACACACACCCTTGCACACCGTCTCACACACCCTGTGAACACGCCCCAGTTCATATTTGTGATGAAACGATTGAGAGTTTAAGCGCCTTTTAAGACATGCGATTGAAATGTAATTAGGCAATGCTAATGCTTCGATCCTTTTGGGGGTGGTATCTTCTTCAATCTGCAGCATCCGAGCTTTTGATTCAATTTGACACAGAGGCCGAAGTAATTACGAGCCTAATTGCTTTTGTCGCTGCTTCTTTATGTGCACTGTAACAGTAAAAGTTGGTCAAATGGAACTGAAATTGCCCAGCGTATTGAGATATATTGACATTAAGCCAGGTCTTATTGTATTATTATGGAAATTGTAAAGAATCTGTCGAAGGAAAACATAATGCGAAAAGGCTTTTCTAACAAATCACTCAAGAGCGGTGAAATGCCGTTCTAATGACGCAATTACAGGAAGAAAATATGAAAATAATTATGAATTAAAATAAAAATTTGGTAAGGAATGGCAATTTTCATATGATAGATGATAGATGATAGATGATAGATGATAGATGATAGATGATAGATGATAGATGATAGATGATAGATGATAGATGATAGATGATAGATGATAGATGATAGATGATAGATGATAGATGATAGATGATGATAGATGATAGATGATAGATGATAGATGATAGATGATAGATGATAGATGATAGATGATAGATGATAGATGATAGATGATAGATGATAGATGATAGATGATAGATGATAGATGATAGATGATAGATGATAGATGATAGATGATAGATGAAAATGGAATTAGGAATATCAAAGCTAAAAAAGTACGCTATATATCCCCTTACCACATAAAATACTAAGTTTACAAATGGATTCTCTATGATTTTTAGAAAGATATACCTAATGTGCCTCTAAGGTTCTTTAAAGCTTTTTTCCGCTTTGGTTCAAAGTCATGTATTTATTCTAAATGCCTCGCAGAAATTTCTATATTTTCATAGATATATTCAAGAACTCCTGAGGCTATCCATCTAAATCTTTTGCCGTATAAAATCAGAGAGTAAAAGTTGCTGGTAAAAACTCGTGTTAGTGAAATTACATTGAAAGCAAGACATCATCATTATCATCAACTTCAGTTGCCTCTTGTTCGACTGCACTTGAAAGTAATGCGATTTGAATGAAATTTTTATGTGAAACTACCTACGCAGCGTTTACAACAACAGCAAGCGACAAGAACTTCACGTGGCTTCAGCAACTAGCTCTGATAATTGTTGTTGTTGTTAGTCTTGGTTGGGGTGCGCCTCTGCGTGGTGGCTAAAGCAACAACAATCATACACACACACACACAGAGAGACAGAGAAATCGTCTGCAGCCGCGCTTAGCGCAAAGGATGAATTTTGAATACTGTGGAAAAGCGTTTAAGTGCCCGATGCCGTCCGTAGTCGATGTCGATGCCAGGGGCCGCCGCATTCAAAGTCGGACTCAACACATTGCCACAGAGTGCGCATGTGTCGCCGCATGTTGCACATGTGTGTGCAGCAAAACGTTACGGCGAACTGCCTCTGGACATGGACATGGCCTCAGCATAGGGACGTGGTACGGACGTTGCGCGAAATGCATCCAACGGCGTTTATTGAAACTGAAAGAGTGGCAGCGAAGGCGACTCTGGCAGTTGTCGCCAGCCACTGATGGCAGGGTGTTAAAAGTCACAAGGACACACGCACATGCAAACGCATGCTGTTGCAGATGCCGCAAATGCAACC